ATTTTTTTTTTCCCCCTCCGACCCAAAAATGCGAATTTTCCAACAGAACAAAGAGGAGGGAAAAAAAAAAAAAAAAGAGAATTTTGGGTTTTTGCTGCCATTGAGCTGGGGGAGGAGATCCCGGGATTTTTTTGGGGGAAATTCTGAATTTCGGGATATTTTAACCCCCACAGCGCAGGCAAAGCCGGGCTTAGATCCGAGAATTTTGGGTTTTTTCCCCAAAAAATCCCGACCCCTCCCTGGATTCCCCCGCGCGGGATTAAAAGGGGAACAAACCCCGAATATTCCGAATTTTCGGCCCAAACCCCAAACGTCTGCTCGGCGCAACAGAAATATTTTCCCTCCTCCGCAAACCAGACAAAGCAAATTAAAAAAAAAAAAAAAAAGTTCAATGAGAGAAAAAAAAAAAAATAAAATAAAAATAAAATCTTTTCGCTCTGCCCGAGCCTCTCCCCAGCCCCGCGAGGAGCCGCAATTCCCGCTGCGAATTCCGCGCTTTTTCCATTCCCGTTATTTTCATTTTAATCCTCTTTTATTCTCCTTCTTTTAGGTTTTTTTTTTATTTTTTTTTGTCCCTGAGCCCGAGCCGGCGCCAGAGGAAACCAAATCTCGAGCGGAAATGAAAAATCCCCCTCGCCAAAGGAAAAAAAAAAAATAAAATAAAAATAAAAAAATAAAGAAAGAAAAAAAAGAAAATCGGGGTTCAGCCCCCCGGAAAATCACAACCCCCAAAATCTCCGCGGTTCCAAAGCAAAATCCGATTTTCCAGGGTTTTTTTTTTATAATTTTTTCCATCACCAAACGCGCTCGGCGGATTCTCGGCGCTCCCTGCCCCCTTTGCTCCCCGATTTATTGGAAATAAATTTATATTTTTATTTTTAAACAACGCCCTTCCAAGCGGAATAACGAGATTTATATTTTTTTTTAATTTTTTTTTCCATTCTGATTATTTCAAGGCCAATTTTTGCGGGAGGAGGCGGCGGGGGGGGGCAGCGAGCGCTTTATTCAAATTTTCCGGGAACATTTCCATTCCCAAAACGCCCAAAATCCACGGAAATTCGGGAAATTCAGGGAAAAATCACGGGAATCCACCGAAATAAACGGAAATTCGGGGAAAAACCCGCGGAAATTCGCCAAAATCCGCGGAAATTCCCGGAAATTCCCTGAAATTCCCCCAAAATCCCGGAAGTTCCCCGAAATCCACGGAAATCCACGGAAACTCACGGAAACTCCCGGACATTCACTGAAATTCCCCAAAAATCCCGGAAGTTCCCCGAAACGCACCGAGATTCACGGAGAGTCACAGAGAATCCCGGAGAGTCACGGAGATTCCCGGAAAGCCGCAGAAATTCCCGGAAATTCACAAAATTCCCCCAAAAATCCCGGAAGTTCCCCGAAACCCGCCGAGATTCACGGAGAGTCACGGAAACTCACGGAAACTCACGGAGATTCCCGGAGATTCACAAAGTTCCCCGAAAATCCCGGAAGTTCCCCGAAGCCCACGGAAATCCACGGAGATTCACGGAAACTCACGGAAATTCCCGGAAACCC